CCCCCCCCCCCCCCAATCATTTTCTTATTCAAGAAACAGACCCTGCTCAAGTGGATCCAATTTCTTTTTTGTCCTTAAATTTAGAAGCAGGTGCTTTTGTGTTATGAGTGTATTGCTTTAATAGTGAATAGGACTGTGGACCTACCTTTTATTTGTTGTTTTTACCTCAAATTATATCTAGAGCTAGGAGGTATTTTCCTATTTTTTGGCAAATCTAGTGAATATTTGTTCCACAGTCCAATTATAACCTGCTTTGTTGACCTGGTGAGCTCTTGAGGTATGTCCTTTGTTGTGAGTCTGTGATCAGACAGGGGCTGACCTTCCACATTTCCTCTTTGGAGAAGATCAGGCATTTGAAGTACTCCTCATCAAATTATTGTCCTGAGGGAGGACCACACAACCACTTTAGGGGGCGTTAAAAAGGGTGGCCTGAACCTTTCTCAGTGCCATCGTGAACTCTGCGAACACATTCTGGAGACTTATTCTCATTGCCTCACTGCCTTGTGACATGTGTTGGTGAAAGTCCTTCTCAGAATCGGGCCCCAGATGGCAGGCAGCTCTTGTTGAGCAGTCTTGCTGTCCCACTCTGGTCCTTTATGTTTCTTCTTGTGCTCTGTGGCTTTTGTGTGTTGTGTCTCCATCTCTGACCAGACGGAGACCCTGTTTTAAAGGGTCCTTTGGAATGAAGATGTTAGACTTATGGGAGGAGCCAGAGCTCTGCCCACCATCCTCCCCCTCCCCGTCCTGAGGGCCGAGAGGCAGTATTGATGATCAGGCTCAGCCCCAACAGGACAGTGTGCACTATGGTGACTTGGGACCAGGCTACATCAAGCTTTTTTTTTTTTTTTTTTAAATAACAGCTTTATTGAGATCGTATTCACAAGTACCATAAAATTCACCCCACTGAAGGTGTACATTTCAGTGGCTTTTAGTATATTTACAGAATTGTATATCCATCACCAGGATCAATTTTAGAACACTTTCATCACCCAAAATGAAACTGTACCCATTAGCATGTACTCCCTATTCCTCCCTCCCCTCACCCCCTGGCAACCACTATTCTACTTGAAGTCTCTATGGATTTGCCTATTATGGAAATTTCATATAAATGGAACCATACAAATGTGGTCATTTGCGACCGACTTCTTTCACTTTACCTAATGCTTTCAAGGCTTATCCATGTTGTAGTATATATCAATATTTCACTTTTATTTTATGGCCAAATAATATTCCATTGTATGGATACACCACATTTTGTTTGTTCATTCATTCAATGGACCTGTGGTCTGTTTCTTCCCTTTGGCTAGTATGAGTCATGCTGCTATGAACATTCATGTACAGGTTTCTGTGTGGACCTAAGTGTTCATTTCTCTTGTGTATATACGCAAGCATGGGATTGCTGTGCCATATTGTAACTCAACATTTAACTGTTTGGGCAAGGATTCCACTTGTTTTCAGGGTTTGGAGAGAGGAAAAGAGGAGAAAAGTCACATTCTTTAGAAGTACTTGAATGTGTTCTATTATGGAAGGCTTTATTTAGCTGGGTCCTACTAACTTATTATTATTATTTCTTTATTTTCTTTTTAGAAGGAAGAGATTGTTGTGACTCTCTTACCAGCTGGTCATTGCCCAGGATCAGTTATGTAAGGGAGTTCATCTATTTTGCCATTTTATTATATGTAGATATGTATAATATTTGTAGAAATTCATTGTTAGTGTCTAGAAAATAATATGTATAGGGAGATTTGAGTATTTTATGGCGCTTTCTTTAATCGTTGTTTCCAAATTGAACTTGGGGGGCTGAGGCGAAGGTCAAGTTTGAAACATGGTTTTCTTACCACGGAAGTCTTCAATAGCTATTTCTCCACTGCCTTTGCATTTTCCTATCACTTGGATTTTTCTCTCCATGAGCAGGAATGATCCCAGTATATAGTTGAGAATGCTGACGTATTTCGGGGGACATCTACCGCAAACTTAGTGGTATCTCCATGTGCCATTTTTTTCTATCCCACAGAAGAGGTGGAAGCTGAGTGCCTGTTGTGGTTTAGAGTTATTGAAATTCCATTAACACTGTGTCATAGTGGCTGTCTTTGGCAGGAAACATTTGCTATGGAATTATTAGTATATATTTGCTTTATTAGGGTTTTGTATGAGACCGAAAAGTCACTGACATATATTTTCTTTACAGGTTTTTATTTCAAGGTGAAAATGGAACTGTCTTGTACACAGGAGACTTCAGATTGGCCAAAGGAGAAGCTGCCAGAATGGAGCTTCTGCACTGTGGGGACAGGTACTGGGCTTTATGTAACTCTTGAATGTAAGACTGCAGCATTTAGTTTCATTGTCCCATTCGCCCCAAAGACAAGCCTTTGCTTCTCTTAGAAATCAAAATTGATTGTAATATTTGTAATAGTAAAGCTATTTTTTCTTCTTGAAACAGGGGCTGGTAACATTCTATGTGTTGATTGGGGCAATAGTTATGTGAATTTGTCAAAATTCACTGAACCATATGAACCATATATGCAAAATCTGTGTATTTTATTATATGGACATCATTTCTAAATAAAGTTGTTTTAACAAAAAAACTCCAAATGGAATGGAATATCCTGTAAAATTACTGAGAGTTTAAATGTTCTACATATTTTATTTCACATTAGATTAACACCAGTTGTTTTTTTCTCCAGAGTGAAAGACATCCAAAGTGTGTACTTAGATACTACTTTCTGTGATCCAAAATTTTATCAGATCCCTAGTCGGGTAAGTCTCTCTGGAGAAATGGGATGAGAACCTGGGTGTGGCATATTTCTAGTAGAAAGTTTGTGGGATAACACATCAAGCCATAATTGTTCACATTGGCATTAATATTTGTGAATGTTGGGAATGGAAAGCGTAAGTGATATTTTTGTTGAATTTATTGGGGTGACATTGGTTAATAAAATTATACAGGTTCCAGGTGTACAGTTCTACAATATATCATCTGTATATTATATTGTGTGTTTACCACCCCAAGTAAAGTCTCCTTCTATCACCATTTAATTCCCTTTTACCCTCTTCTACCTCCCCGCACACCCCCTTCCCTCTGGCAATCACCATACTGTTTTTGTTTCCACGAGAGTCTTTCTTTTTTTTCTTAGCTTAATCCTTTCACCCTTCTCACCCAGCCCCCAGTCCCCAGCCCTCTCCCCTCTGACAGCTGTCAGTCTGTTCTCTGTATTCATGAGTCTGTCTCCAGTTTGTTTATTTTGTTCATTAAATTCCACATAGAAGTGAAATCATATGGTACTTCTCTTTCTCTGACTGGCTTATTTCACTGGGTAAGTGATATTCTTAAAATTGTTACATGCCTTTTTAAAATCCTGCCAGGAGGAGTGTCTGAGTGGAATATTGGAGCTTGTTCGGAGCTGGATCACTCGGAGTCCGTACCATGTTGTGTGGCTGAACTGCAAAGCAGCTTACGGGTATGAGTATCTGTTTACCAACCTTGGTGAAGAATTTGGACTCCAGGTATGGTGGTGGCTCTTTCTTTTCTGCTGTTCCCTTTCATTCTCTCCACTTCACCTTTCCTTTCCCTCCCAACCCCACCAAAACTGAAAACCATAAAGATGGAAGCAACCTATTAAAATGTGTGTGGCACTGGTTGGCAGCCCCTCTGAAGTAACATGTCATCTTTGTTTATTCATGTCCTCATGGGAGGACTTGACAGTGGCCCAAATGACTGAGAAGAGCGCTTTGGTGAAATGTTCCATAGAGAAAGTATTTTTTCAGAACCTATGGGTCATGAAATAAATTTAGTAATTGTGACCAGCATTGAAAATAAATTTGAACTAGAGAATATTCGAGTGTATTGCTTGCAGTCAGAGTAATTATTGTTTTGTGAAAGTTTACAGAGGAACTCAGACACAGCTGCTGTGGAAAACAGCTCCAACATTGCACTCAGACATTCCCCCTGGCAGGATTTTTGCCAAAGTTTACGGAGGGACTCAGACATAGTTGCTGTGGAAAACATATTTCTTACTGTGGGTCATGGTCAAAAATGTCTGAAAAACCTGTCCTAGAACACTCAGTCTCTCAGGATCCTGTCTGATCAGGCTCAGAGAGAGCTTTCCTGTCCCTTCCAGATGGTCCAGTGCTGGGCTTTCAGGAGCCTGGGCAGCAGAGCCTAGTGTGTGTGTGAGTGGCTGCTGTGCCTACATGGAGCCTGTGGCTTCTGCTTTTGTCCCCTAAGACAAGATGGATCTTTGGTATTGATGCTGAACAAAATGAAGCGCTGACCTACTTGGACATTTAAGTTCTACCTCGTTTTGTATCTTTTAATATGGATCCCCCAGCTAACTTGTGCAAAGAACTTTACACTTATATACAATGTAATTTAGTAAAATAAAAAGATCTAGTTTTTTTGCATTTGAAATTTAAAAATTCTTCCCTCTCTTTCTGCCTTCATAAGTCTTTACTTCCTAAGTCCTTTCCTTAATTTCTTCCTTCCTTAAATCCAATCCTTCTGTTCAAATATATTGGTATAAAGTTGCCAGTTCTCCATTTTAGGAAGAATTTGCATTCATTCTGAGATTTTTATTATTAAAAGGGCCTTTTTTTCATCACTGTTTTCTTTTTTTTTTACAATGAGCTGAGCCTTTCAGTGAGGTCATGAAGTTAATATTTTGCATCCACGGAGGGCTGTGTATACTTCAGTCTTAGGCATGTCTGATTTAAAAAAAACTGTCGGAAATATTTATGTCTGAATTGAAATAAGATGCTGCAGACAAAAATAATTCTTGTTGTAATCATCAAGTGAGAAATCTAGTTTTTAAAAAATTTATTTTAATTGTTGAGAGTATTACAGATGTCCCCCATTTTCCCTTCTTTGCTCCCCTCCACCTGGCTCCTGCCCCCCCTTCACTGCACTATTGTCTGTGTCCATGGGCTATGTGTATATGCATATAAGTTCTTTGGTTAATCTCTTCCTGCCAACCCCCCCTACCCCGTTAAAATGGCCTTTTATTTTATTATTATTATTTTTAATATATCTTTATTGATTTCAGAGAGAGGAAGGGAGAGGGAGAGAGATGGAAACATCAACGATGGGAGAGTCATTGATCCGCTGCCTCGTGCACGCCCCCAACTGGGGATCGAGCCCACAACCAGGGTATGTGCCCTGACTGGGAATCGAACCCCGATCACCTGGATCCTAGGTTGATGCTCAACTGCTGAGCCACGCCCAGCTGGGCAAAGTGGCCTTTTAAATTAGAATCACAGTGATAATAGGTTGTGTATGGGCACACACACACATAGTTATCTACAATACTATCCACTATTTTTTCCCCCTCATGTCCTCTCTTAGCAGGATAAAGGTATTAACTACTTAACAGTCCCAAATTTGTTTTGTAAATTTTAGTGGTGTGTGAAATTGAGCAAACTGGAAGCTCCCGCTCTGTGGGCCTTGCAGGAAGAAACCACAGGGCAGGCGGACAAGGGGCTCAGGATGGTGGAGAGCCAGCCCTTCTTGGTAACCACAGTCACCCTGCAGGGAGTCCTCTCTGAATCCCTTTTAGGGAATAGAAACAATTTCAGATCAGGAATTTAAAAAGGAATAGTGAGGTTTTTGACTAAGGGAGCTCAGTGATGATCTATGGCAGCTTTTTCAGGCTTTTTCATTTTCGTGAAAGTCCTTTTGTCTTTGTCCTTTGTTGACATCCTAATGAAATACTAATGTGCATTGAAATGCCAAAAACTAGGTTTCAAGAAAGAAGAGTTGTTCCCTAACGGGATGATTTACCCCTGCATAATTACTCTCAAATAATTTATTTATGGGAAATACAATTCAAATAATTTTTTTATCTGTTATTTTCCTCAGGTTCATGTGGATAAATTAGACATGTTTCGAAACATGCCCGACATTCTTCATCATCTCACCACAGACCGCAGCACTCAGATCCATGCGTGTCGCCATCCAAAGGTACATAGTAAATTGCTTTTTTCATTTTTTGTGGGATCCATGAGAAACAGAATTTCAGGACCAGAAGGAACCTCAAAAATTCTATTTTTGATGCTCTTGACATGCAACTGTACATTATTGGATTCCATTACCATAAACTTCATACTTAGTAAATAGACACAAATACTTATGGTTTTTTTAGTGACATATATTCATACCCAGTTGATACATGTTTATCTGTGATGAATAATTTATTTGTAATGAAATTAGTAAAATATTAGAGCTTATAATTTAAGAAAACATATTCACAATCCATTGATAGTTTTGAGACTCGTGCACATTTATAAATGTATTTTTCTTCTCATTTGAGATTAAATATCTAGTATAACTTCACTCTGAATTTTGAAATAGTTACATATTTTGCTAGTCTAATTTCAAATGAATGTTGTTAGTGAATTGTTTTTTAATGCCACCATAAAATTCCCTCTTATTAAATCTGTTATTATTAATCCTTCCGTTATTAAATGCCAGGCATTAAGTTTTTAATTTGTCTTTAACATTTAAAAAAATTTTAATTTATATAGTCTTTCTACATCACTAATACTAATAATGATCTTCAAATGCAGTGGTATTCATGATTACAATTTTCCTCTAAATTTTAAAGTATGTTAGCATTCAAATGCTGAATAAACCCTGCCTTTGTATATCTAGACAATCATCGTGGTAGTAGTATTTGCTTCATTGGCCAAAAACCTAACATAAAGTTGCTCAGCCCTGAAATGAAGCATAATTTAAAAAAAAAAAGAAAAGAATTCTTATCCACAACATGGAATATTCTACTTCAGACTACTCTAGGAGAGTTGCAGGGTGAGAAATTACTTTGATGATTGGTAGGCTGCATATTATAATTTGCATTCATGAGTTTCTTTTTTTAAAAATTTTTATTTATTGATGAGAGAGAGGGTGCTAGAGAGTGGGAGAGAGAGACAGAGAAACATCAATTTGTTGTTCCACTTATTTAATCAACTGAGCTACCTGGCCAGGGCAGTTTATTTCATCATTTTGTTTGTGTGTGCATACAGATACATACACACAGCCAATGAATTTGTGGATGGATAAAAATAATGTAGATACAAAATGAAACTGTCCTTTTTCTGTTGAACTTAGAATCTTTAGTTTTCTCACATCCCATAATTTTTTTTAATTGATTTTAGAGAAGAAGGGAGATAGCGAGAGAGAGAGAAAGAGAGAGACAGAGAGAGAGAGAGAGAGACATCAATGCATCATCCATTGGGTGCCTCCTGCATTCCCCCCGCTGGGGATTGAGCCTAAAACCTGGGCATGTGCCCTGAACGGGGAATTGAACCATGACCTCCTGGTGCATAGATTGATGCTCAGCCACTGAGCCACACAGGCCAGGCCCATAAATCTTTTAATTGGACTTTTTTTTTCCATTCTGAGTTTTCTCACATCCCACAAAGTAGCTTAATTTGTAACTGCTACTCCTGTCATTTCTCACATGGCTACTTGCTTTGAACCACTACTTCTAGTGGCTTAAGAGATTTCTTAAGACATGTAGCATTAAAAATACTGAGCAGAGCACAGCTTGCAAAGCCCTGTGGCAACTAATAGGAAGCCTCAGAGGAAGCAGCACCAAAGGCACTGGCAGATGTGTGATCTGGATGGAGTCCATGTGGTTCTGAAGGATCCTGATCTAAACATGTCTTTGGGAAAACAGTCCCATTGTTTTTCAACCTTTTAAAAACACTTATTTTTTCTCTCTCTGACTTTATTTAGAAAAATTTAAAAACAGTAAAGTTGTGAGACTGTATTCCCGTTTGTTAACACTTTGCCACATTTGCACTCTTGCCCCTCTGCCTCTCCTTTTCTCGCCAGCCCATTTGAGAGTCAGTCACAGACTTCAAGATACTTCACCCTAAACCTTCAGCGTGTATGACTGGAGAAAGTACATTCTCCTGTACAACTACAAATACAGTTCCCACACTCAGGAAATTTAGCTCAGATATGATATTGTTGGGTATCATATGGCCCATATTGTTTTCCTCAGTTGTCCCATTAGCATCCTTTAGAGCTTGTGGAGGGGAAACAGGCATCCAGGATTTAATGAATCATTAAGGAGGGCTCTTTAGTCTCTAGCCTTTTGCTTTTCTTCCATCACGTTGATATTTTGGAGATTCCAGGCCACTTGTTTTACAGGAAGTTCCTCAACTTTGGAATTATCTGATTGTTTCCTCATGTTTCCATTCTTTTTCTTCATGTCTGAAAACTTATCTACTTCTTTTGTTATTGAGACGCTGCCTATAAACATACCTGTTGAAAATGCTGAACTGCTTTTCTATATTTTTAAATCTTTTTTTTTAGGCAGAGGAATATTTTCAGTGGAATAAGTTACCCTGTGGAATTACTTCCAAAAATAGAATTCCCCTCCGCACAATCAGCATTAAGCCATCCACGATGTGGTTTGGAGAAAGAACCAGAAAAACAAATGTAATTGTGAGGTAAGAAAGCAGTGTCATAGGTCTTCTGAGAGAAACCCTGCTTTGAGGTAAATTGTCTGATTTATTTTAGTTTAAATGCAATCTAGCCTAAGCCCAACAGGATATATTATAATTGTGGAAAATAACTTCTGAAATTTAAACTCTATTTAACTACCGAGAAGCTGCTTCCAAACCTATCCCATGGCTAATACAATAAGCCCGTATTTCCTGAGGCCTGTCTAGTTGGGTAGATAAGAAAGGAGTGATGGATTGATGTTGGAGTTAACGGAGCCCTTAGTGAAGCAGAGGAATACCATAATGATCATCATTTTGGGGCAACATTTCCTTTATATTAGCTGTTCAGAATGTCTACAGATATTTATATTTCTGGAAAGAGTCCCCTCTTTCCAGGGAGAAATTCTTGATTGTAGGGTTTTTTTACTGGGACAGTATAAACAGAAAGGCTCGAAATTGAGAACTTAGCTTAGTTTTGATAAATGACCTTTTAATTTTGCATTCTCATTTCCCTTTAGGACTGGAGAGAGTTCATACAGAGCTTGTTTTTCTTTTCACTCCTCCTACAGTGAGGTAAGAGGATCCCACATACACATAACCCTATTGCCGACTGCTCTGCAGCCTTCATGGTTGAGAGAAAGTCTTGACTTCCAGTGGCATCTCTTTTTCTACTGCTGAAGATTTGTTGTGGCTTTTCCTAAAGAAATTCAGGGAAAATATCTCAGTGGATGAGCTACATTTATATGTACAAAGGAAATTGCTGTTATTACCTGTTTTCAGCCTAAACATTGAAGAATATATGTATGATTAAGGTTTTCTTCCTGTCTGGCTTCCTAAATGTAATTTAACTTCCCCACTTCAATTGTATTGTTCACCTGTAATAAAAGAATCATAATTATTTGAAGGAGTACTACAGATAAAACCTCATTATAGTCAGCCTTGATATTCAAATTTTTGGTCTCTTCCAAAATCTGATTGTATTAAAAAGCCACTTAAAAAAATAGTCCTGAATATTCAGCAATAGGGAAGAACAAAACTGATCGAGCTATAGACCTTGTCCTTAAGATGTTATATACTAGAACTACCCAGCTTTAGAGAGCTTAAAATGGTTTAGTTATGGTACTTTTTAATATAGGAAGTTGACCTGCTACAATGGGAACGTAATATATGTAATTTATTTGCAAAAGCCTCATGCATTTTCAAAGTAAATGCTAGCATCTAGCAAGTGCAGAGATTCAGTAATTTCACGTATTGGAGAAAAGCAATATAAAAGCAGCCTTTTTATGACACTTTAAGTCATATATAATTTTAGTTTTTTCTGTTTCTGCACTTAAAAATCCATTTCCCTGATAACTATTGTTTTTGTATTTGGGATACATGGATACAGCCCTGTAGCAGTGAGCTGTGGATGTGTTAATGATTTGAACAGGTAGATTTTTCAGAACTCAAGGTAGCAGCATTCTTATCAAGACAGCCATAATATTTCTAAATAATTCACCATATTATCAAAATATTACAGTGACATCTCTATTAAATAACTGACCTTAACTTTCAGGTACAAATAGTTTATCTGAGAGTAGCTTGGAATTAATTCATTTTGGTGATATAATTTAGTTGTTTTCTTCATCAATTCCTCTTGAATCTTAGGTTGTTGTCAAAGCCCCTTCCTGGTGATTTGTCCTTGGTGTGGCATTTTGCTCAGCATCAGAGTCCCTTCCTCTTGATCGACAGAGTATCCTTTCTTTCTCGGCCATAGGGAGGGCATCTAATCAGATGGAAAGGGAAGGGTAGGTCTTACTTCTTCAGTCAAATCTACTCCTGTCTTATTTCTCTTCTTCAGTATAGTTATTAGCCAAGTTGGGAAGCATAACTATAAAGTGGTGAGACTTTATAAAATTACCTCCCAGTAAGGATGTATTTCTCTGCTACTTGAGTAGAGATGGCTGACCTACCTCCTCCCTTCCCATTCCCTTAGATCAGAGCCAGTTGTCATGCACATAGCAGGATTACTCTGAGCTCTGCTCAGTCATCTTCTGTCACAGTATTTGGTGAGAGACAGGCTTTCCTGAAAATTGGTTTAATTAATATACTTATATCCTATAAATAGAACATGAACTATATTTAAAAATGTAATTGTAGGTTTAAATATCATTTCCTTTCAGTTTTTTCTAAATACAATTGGTCATCTTTATTCCTGGATTTCTTATTTGTAATTTTGCCTACTCATGAAAATTTGTTTTTAAGACCCAAATTGATACAGGCAGTGCTTTGTGGTTATTTGCAGACATGCACAGCAGAGTGGTAAAAAATTGCAGTTGTCCAACATGCACATTCTCAACTCAGGCTGAACACGGCTGCATTCTGCCTTTTCAGAGTGTGAATAATTGTCCTTTTGCAGTCTATTTAGTGCTGCATTTGTCATATTTTTGTGCCTTTTGTTGGTGATTTCACTGTTTAAAGTGCCCCTACGCATAGCACTGAAGTACTCTCTAGTGTTCCTAAGTGCAGGAAGGTGGCATGTACATGGGGACAAACTGTAATCTAGTTTCATTCTTTTGCATGTGGCTTTCCAATTTTCCCAGCATCATTTATTGAAGCGGCTTTCTTTTCTCCATTGTGTGTTTTAGGCTCCTTTGTCAAAAATTATTGGCGCGTGTACATGTGGTTTTTTTTGGGCTCCCAATTCTGTTCCATTGGTCTGTTTTTCTGCCAATACAATGCTGTTTTGATTATCGTAGCTCTGTAATATAATTTGAAGTCAGATAGTGTTATACCTTTGCCTTCATTTTTTTTCTTAGGATTGCTTTGGCTATTCAGGGTCTTTTGTAGTTCCATACAAATCTGATCATTTTTTGTTCTACTTCTTTTAAAAATGACATTGGGATTTTGCTGGGGATTGCATTAAATCTGTACACTGCTTTGGGTAATATGGCCATTTTAACTATGTTGATTCTTCCAATCCATGAACATGGAATATCTTTCCATTTTGTTGTGTCTTTTTCAATCTCTTTTAATAATGCTTTGTGGTTTTTGGTTTATATACCCTTCACAAGGCTCCTTTGTTAAATTTATTCCTAGGTATTTTATTCTTTCGGTTGCAGTTGCAAAAGGAATTGCTTTTCTCATTTATTTTTCTGAAGTTTGTTAGTGTATAGGAAAGCAGTGGATTTTTGTACATTGATTTTGTATCTTGCAACTTGACTGTGTTTGTTTATTGTTTCTAATAGTTTTTCAGTGTTCTTTAGAGAGTTCTATATACAGAGTCATGTCATCTGCAGAAACTGACACTTTTACTTCTTCTTTCCCAATTAGGATGCCTTTTATTTCTTTCTCATCTGATTACTCTGGCTAGGACTTCCAGAACTATGTTGAATAAGAGTGGTGAGATTTGGCATCCTTGTCTTTTTCCTGATTTTAGAGAAAAAACTCAGTGTTTCACCGTTGAGTATGATATTGGCTGAGGGTTTGTCACATATGGCCTGTATAATGTTGAAGTACTTTTTTTCTATACCTATTTTATTGTTTTAATCATAAATGGAAGTTGTATCTTATATGCTTTTTCTGCATCTACCGATAAGATCATATGATTTTGATCCTTTGTTTTGTTAATGTGCTGTATTACATTGATTGATTTACATATGTTGAACCATCCTTATGCTCCTGGAATGAACCCCACTTGATCATGAGGTATTATTTTTTTAATGTATTGTTGTTTTTGACTTGCTAGTATTTTGTTTGGGATCTTTGCATCTGTATTCATCAGGGTTATTTATCTGTAGGTTTTTTGTGTGTGTTATCCTTGCCAGGTTTTTGTATCCGGGTTATATTGGTCTTATAAAATGTGTTAGGAAGTATTGCCTCATCTTCAGTTTTTTAGAAGAGTTTGAGAAGGATAGGTATCAAATCTTTGAATGTTTGGTGGAATTCACTAGTGAAGCCATCTGGTCCTGGACTTTTATTTTTTGGGAGATGTAGATAGCTGTTTCGATTTCTATACTGTTGATCAGTTTGCTTAGATTTTCTAGTTCTTCATGATTCAGTCTAGGAAGGTTATATAAATCTAGGAACTTATCCATTTATTCTAGGTTATTGAATTTGTTGGCATAGAATTTTTCATAGTATTCTAGTATAATCATTTGTATATCTGTGATGTCTGTGGTATCTTTCATTTCTGATTTTGTTTATATGAGTCTTTTCTCTTTTTTCCTTAGTGTATCTAGCCAGGGGTTTGCCAATTTTATTAATCTTTTCAAAGAACCAGCTCTTCGTTGTATTAATTTTTTTGTATAGCCTTTTCTCTATTTCATTAAGTTCTGCTCTAATTTTTATTATTTCCTTTTTTCTGCTGATTTTGGGTTGCTTTTGTCCTTTTTCCAGTTCTTTAAGATGTAATATTAGGTTGTTTACTTGTGTTTTTTCTTGTTTCTTGAGATAGTTCTATAGTGATATAAACTTCCCTCTTATTACTGCTTTCACTGCATCCCAGAAGTTTTGATATGCTGTATTTTCATTCTCATTTGTCTCTCTCTATCTCTTGATCTCACCTTTTATTTCTTCTTTGATCCATTTTTTAGTAGTATGTTGTTTAATTTCCACGTATTTGCAGATTTCTTTACTTTTTGCAGTTGATTTCTGATTTCAAAGCATTGTGGTCAGAGAATATGCTTGGTATAATTTCAGTCTTCTTGAATTTGTTGAGGCTAGTTTTGTGACCCAATATGTTGTCTATCCTTGAGAATGTTCTATGTGCACTGGAGAAGAATGTATAATCCGATGTTCTGGGATGAAAGGTTCTTTAAATGTCAATTATGTCCATTTGGTCTAATGTGTCATTTAAAGTGGATATTTCTGTATTGATTTTCTGCTTGGATAATGTATCTAGAACTGTCAATGGAGTATTATGGTCCCCAACTATGCTTATGATTTGTCAGTTTCTCCCTTTAGCTCTGTGAGTAGTTGCTTTATATATTTTTGTGCTCCCTGGTTTGGTGCATATATATTAAGAAGTGTTATTTCTTCTTGATATAGTGTCCCCTTTATCATTATAAAATGTCCATTTTTGTCTTTTGTTGTCTTTGTTATCTTGAAATCTATTTTTGTCAGATGCAAGTATAGCTACACCTGCTTTTCTGTGGATGTTATTTGCTTGGAGAAGCATTTTTCATCCTTTCACTTTGAATCTAACTTTGTCTTTGCAGCTTAGATGTTTCTCCTGAAGGCAGCATATGGTTTGGGTTTTGTTTTTTGATCCAGTGTGCTACTCTGTGCCTTTTTGTTGGTGAATTCCGTTCATTTACATTTAGGGTAATTATTGATGTTTGAGGATTTCCTATAGCCATTTTACCTTTTGTTTTCTGGTAGTTCTGTGCCTCCATTGGTTCTTTTCCTTTGTGTTTCTGTCTGTTGTTTTTGTTTGGTGGTGTTTCATACTTCTTTCCTCTGTTTTCTCTTTTTAAAACCATATGTCTCGGTTTTGGTCTTTTTGTGTGTGGTTACCATTAGGTTTATGAAAAAGAAAGTTTCATGTATACAGTAATCCTTTTTCTTTTGAATGCATCTGATCTCCATCCTTTGCAAATTCAGACCTTTACTCTCTCCCCTTTTAGTTTTTGTTGTCACAAATTATCCCTGTTTATGCTGTAAGTTTGTTATTGATCTTACTTGTAGTTTTGTGACCTTCTGATCTTTGTTTCAGGTAGAATAACCCCCTTGAGTATTTTCAGCAGTGGATGTCTTCTGGTGGTATATTTCCTCAGCTTCTGTATGTCTGGGAACGCCTTTATTTCTTCTTCATATTTAAAGGATAACTTTGCTGGATATATTATTATTCTTGGCTGGTAATTTCTTTCTTTTAGTAGTTCGATTATTTGGTTACACTCTCTTCTGGTTGATAGTTTCTGCTTAGAAGTCCAATGATAGCCTAATGGGCTTTCCTTTATAGGTTACTTTTTCTTTTTCCTGGCTGCCTTGAGAATTATTTCTTTGCCATTAATTTTTGACAGTGTTAATACAATGTGCTTTGTAGATGGCCTCTTTGGATTGAAGTAACTAGGGGTTCTGTTTGTTTCTTGAATTTGAGGATCTAGCTCTTTCCATAGGTTTGGGAAGTTCTCATCAACTATCTGAATAGGCTCTCCATTCCTTTCTCCTTGTCTTCTTCTTCTTCTGGTATGCCTATTATTATTATATTGCTTTTTCTTATGGAGTCAGACAGTTCCTGTTGAGCTCTTTCAATTTTTTTATGCTCAAATCTCTCTCTTCTTCCCTCTGCATCATTTCCAGATTTCTATCTCCAATATCACTAATTCTTTCCTCAATTTGGTCAGCTTTATTTCCTGTGCTCACTTTTTATTCTTGATCTCTTTTATTAAGTTCTTCATCTCCAGAATTTGTTTGGTTCTTTTTTTAAGGTTTCAATCTCTTTGGTAAAGTACTCATTTTGTTTATAAATTTATTTTCTGAGTGCATTAAATTGCCAGTCTGTATTTTCTCACATCTCATTGAGTATTTTCAGAACTGCAACCTTGAACTCTCTGTCATTTATATCACATATTCCTGTGTGTTTGCTTTCTGGAGATTTTTCATTTTCTTTCTGAGCCGCCTTGCTACGTTGGTTATTTATGGTATTTGATGGGCTCCTTCTCTGTCTAGGCATCCACATATGAGTGTCACATCTCTAGCAGATTTCTATGAAGAGGTCTTTCTCTTATTTTCCAGTAGGTGGTGCTGAATCACAAGTTCTTTATCTTTGAAATCCCAGTGCTAACTCCTGCAGTGTGTCTCTGGCTGCCATCAGTGTAGTGGCAATATGTGGGGGTGGGATTGGCTGGTGGAGTCCACCCCCTTCTTTGTTTTGGCCTCCTAGTAATGGCAACTTTGGACTTCCATGGGGTCCCCACTGCGCCCTGATTGGGGACCAGTCACACTACACCCTTAACTCAGGGGAAATAGTGATTCTGTAGTACCAGTTATTGGGTTTGCAGATAATGCAAATCAACACCAAGAGTGAAGGGAAGTGAGTTCTGGGAGGCTACAGGGCATCATGGCTTTGTTTCTCTGTCTGGAATGCCAATCGCCTGACAAACATGGCAGCACCCCAGTGTTGTGTCCTTGCTTAGGTCTCTGGGTTCAGCTGCAGCTTGTGCTGCTCACTCCTGTGGGAATGCCCACTGAATCTTTCTTCTCCTCCTGGCTGAAGAAAGCGCCAGCCACAACTGGATTCTTCCCCTCTCCAGGCTGAGCCCAGCTGTGAGCTCCCAACTGCAGGGCTGCGTCCATGATTAGTCTGAGCCCTCCTCCCTTCTCACCTCCCGTTTGTTCCCACTTGCCCACCTTTAGATACTTAAATGTGCTGACCCCTCAGGTGTGTCTGTATGTTAAGCAGGGAATCTTTTGTTGAGTTATAGCTGTTCAAATTTTTGAAATTTCAAGGGGAGTGACCAGGGGGATCTCTCATGCTGCCATTCCTCTGACATCACTCAAGAAGTATAATTCTAAGACCTTGTTGCCTTGTGTACATTAAGTACTCAGCTAAATCTAACATACTTGAAGGAGATGTGTTAAATATGAGTGACTGACCTTAGTGAGGACATAGACAAATGAAGAAATACAGAATCTTTGAATCCTATTAATCAGTGATTCTCAGTCCTTGCTGTGGAACAAAACCACCTGAAGAACACAGAGTTCCAGGCCCCACTGCATCTTAGTGTAAAAAGGATCTTCGGGGTGAGGCCTGAGCATTGGATATGTCTTTTTCCTAAGAGGTCCCCAGGTGAACCCCATATGCAGCAAGCATTGAGAACCACAGCCATGATTTTTCTGCTGCTTTCTCCTGGCCTCCATTTATTTGCCTCTCACACATAGATTTTTCAATGTTGAGATAATTGATCCATTTTGTTTTCCTTCTTCTAGATTAAAGATTTCTTGAGCTACATCTGCCCTGTGAATGCATATCCAAATGTCATTCCAATGGGCACAACTGTGGATAAAGTTATAGAAATGTAAGTTATTTCTACTTCTGGAACTTGTGTTATTGAATGGGATGAGTACAGAGAATAGTGTGGGCCTGAGAGCAGGGGCAAAGACTTAAAGTGGATGTGGCTGTGAATGAGTTTCTGGGTGGGAGCATACTGGCTTTCTTTAAGCAGGTATGTTATATATAATCCTAAAGGCTTCTGGGACTCCAGTATAAGGAAGTAGTTGGCAGTAAGGCCCTTGAAAAAGGGTAGGACACCCCCAACTCTTATTTCTGTGCCCTTTTATATTTCATCTTCACTGGGTCTTAGCTTTCAGCCTCTAGAAGGAAGTGATCAAATTTGTGAGATACTTGCAAGAGATAAACAAACAGGGAAGGGAAAACAACTAGCTATATTGTGTTCTCTGAATGCCAGAAGGTGTCACTGTATTACTTAAGTTTTTTAGAATAGGGACCTGCTCTTCTGCAGTACAAGAGCGGATATGAGTTTTGCTTTCCCTTGATCCGACAATTAGATACCTACCTACCAGGTTGTATTAACATTTTATTATATTGAAGTGATTTTTAATTATTAAACATTACTTTTCAGGTTTTAAAAAAGTTTTAAAATTTATTTTAGAGAGGGAGGAAGGGAGAGGGAGAGAGGGAGAGAAACATTGATGTGAGAGAGAAACGTTGATTGGTTGCCTCCCATATGTGCCCTGATGGGGTGGAATCTCAACCTGGGTATGTACTTCCACCTGGGATTGAACCTCTCACCCTTTGGTGCCAGGGGTGATGCCCAACAAACTGAGCAACACCAGCCAGGGCTGCTTTTCCATTTTTAAAAGTAGTTATGATTGCCCCCATGGTCAAGTTTTTATAATTTTGATGAATGATGCTTACAGTCCAGCAGCAGAAATAAAATATTCATATTCATATTTATTTCAGCCTAAAGCCTTTGTGCCGATCTTCCCAAAGCACTGAGCCAAAGTATAAACCGCTTGGAAAACTGAAGAGAGCTAGAACAATTCATCTAGACTCTGGTAAGAATAACATTCCTGGGGTTAGAAGTGTGAGTGTCCTACAAGACTGCTTTTCAGGGTGCTCTGGTCTGGTGAAAGCTGCATTGGGTAGAGGCAGACCTGGGACTCACTGACATTCAGATTTGTCACATGGTCTCAGGAAGTGCTTAGCCTTCGTATCTCCAGCCTGTAAAACCAGGAGTTCCATCTCCTTCACAGGTTTAAGCAAGTGCCAAGGAGAAGTGTGCCTGTATTGGATGCTCTTAGCTTTTTGGAAATATGCCCCATGGTTTGCATAGGCCATAAGGAGAAGCTGTGCTGTTATTTTTTAACATTTCCTTTAAGATACTAGAAAATGCTGATAATGGGAACTTTTATTGCCATCATTTCCGATCAGACTGATCAGTAGTGCTTATACAAATGGATTTTCCCTATACTTTCCTACCTTCTTTCATTGCTACTTTATTCTCCAGTGAAGGTGAGAGATAAACTCTGAGGTGGAAATTAGAACTTCAGATTCTGAGCAAAGCCCTGCTGCTTTATGTGATTTCGTGGTTAGGATTAGTAGATAACAATGATACTATTTATTGAACACCTACTGTTTGGCAGGTATTGTGCTAGGTCCTTTCCATATATTATAGCTAAACCTCAAAACAAACCTGTGAGGAGTCTCATCCCAGTTTTACTAATGAGCACACTGAAGCTGTTGGGTGAAGTAGTGTCAAGTTAGTTGATAATGTTCGTCTTCTATATTGTTGCTGCCTTACGTGTTCTACTTGCTCTATCAGTTATTCAGAGTTGTTGAAATGTCTGTTTATAATTATGGATGTGTATTTCTCCCTGTCATTCTTTCACTTTTTGCTTCATCTGTATGAAGCAATGTTATTAGATATACACGTTTAAGATTCTTATGTCCTGTTGAGGAACTGACTCTAATTTTAGGAAATATATATTCCTGGTAATATTCTTAGCTTTGAAATCTATGAGCTATTAACTCCACTTTCTTCTGATTAGTGTTAGTATGGTAACTTTTTGTATCTCTGTATTTTTAACTGTCTTTATATTAAAGTGGGTGTCTTGTTGGCAGTGTAGTTTTTGGGTCTTGCTTTTTGTAGCCAATCTGATAATTTCTGCCTTTTAATTGGAGTGCTTAAATCACTTTAGGTTTAATGTGATTACTGATATACTTAGTTTTAAATTTACCATCTTGCTATTTGTTACATCTGTTCTTTATTTCTTCTTTCTCTTGTGCCTTCTTTTGGATTAAATGAGTACTGATATATTCCTTTTAATCTCTTATTGGCTTATTAGCTATAATTGTTTTATTTTAGTGGTTTACAGCATACATCTTTAACCTATTGGAATGAAAAGTTTAAATATTATTCTACTTACAACAGTCTAATTCCATTTCTTACAACAGTCTAATTCCATTTCTCCCCCTCCCAGTCTGTGCCAAAAAGGCATACATTTTACTCTGTTAAAACTCCAAAAGTATGTTACTATTTTTTTGCTTTAAGCTCTCACTTTTTAAAAGCTTTATTGAAGAATAATTTATATACCAAAACTTCACCCTTTTTAGATGAAATCAATTATTGTTACTTTAAAAGAGTTGTTCAACTATCAGCAGTATCTAATTTCAGATATTTCCATTACTCCAAAAAGAAACTTGCCCATTTAAAGTCACCTTCCCATTACCACCTCCAGACTTAAGGAACCATAAATTTATGTTTTTTTTAAACTGGATATTTTTCTTTATCTTTTAACTTTAAAATTATTTGTACCTTGAGGACACGTTCATTGATCTTTGTATACCCTTGTATACCCAGGATCTTAAAGAGCATATAGCTTATGAATACTGAATGAATATATACATAAATACACAAATTAAGTTTAGGTAAACTTAAAGCTGTACCACTGTTTCTCTGCCTTACTATCAATCCAAAATTTGACTGACATTGATGCAACTTCTAAAAAAAAAATTATCTTTATTGTTGAAAGTATTACAGTTGGTCCCCTTTCCCCCCCATTTTCTCTACCCTGTACCCCTCCGCCCAGGCCTTCATCACAGTATTGTCTTTGTCCATGGGTTATACATATATGCATATGAGTTCTTAGGTTAATTTCTCCTCACAACCCGTCTACCCTTCCCTTCCTCCTAAGATTTGTCAGTCTCTAGACCCTTCTATGTCTCTAGATCTGTTTTGTTCATCAATTTATTTTGTTCATTAGATTCTATATATAAGCAAGATCATGTGATACTTCTTTCTCTGACAGGCTTATTTTGATTAGTATAATACTCTCCAGGTCCCACCATGAGGTCTCATAGGGTAAAGAATCCTTCATTTTTACAGCTGCATAGTATTCCATGGTGTAAATGTCTGAGAAGATGCTTGATATGATTTCAATCTTCTTGAACTTGTAGAGAGACTTGTTTTGTGTCCTAACATGTGGTCTGTCTTTGAGAATGTCCCATGTGCACTTGAGGAGAATGCCTGTTCTGCAGCTTTGGAGTGAAATGTTCTGTAAATGTCAGTTAAATCCATTTGATCGAATGTGTCATTTAGAGTCACTGTTTCCTTGTTGATTTTTGTCTGGAAGATCTATCCAGTAAAGTCAGTGGGGTGTTAAAGTCCCCTACTGTGACTGTATTGCTGTCAATCTCTCCTTTAAAGTCCTGCAGAAGTTTACAGCTTGTGTGAGTTTATTTTGAAGTAGGTTTCTTGTAGACAGCATATATTTGGGTCTTGTTTTCTGATTCCGTTCAGCTACCCTACATCCTTTGATTGGAGCATTTAGTCCATTTGCATTTAAGGTTATTATTGATAGGTACTTATCTATTGCCATTTTATTTCATTATGCCTGTTTCTCATTCTATTTCAACTTTTAATTACAGCAGTCTCTTTAACATTTCTTGCAATGCTGGTTTGGTGGTGATAATCTCCTTTAGCCTTTTTTTGTCTGGAAAACTCTTTATTTCATCAACTATTTTGAATGATAGCCTTGCTGGATAGAGTAGTTTTGGTTTCAGATTCTTGTTTTAATTACCTTGAACACTTCATGCCATTCCCTTCTGGCCTGTAGAGTTTCTGATGAGAAATTAGCTGACAGCCTTATGGGAGCTCCTTTGTAGGTAACAGATTGCTTTTCTTTTTGCTGCCTTTAAGATTCTCGCTTTGTCTTGAATTTTTGTTATTTTAATTATATGTCTGGGCATGGGCCTCTTTGGGTTGTTCTTGCTTGGGACTCTCTGTGCCTTCTGAACTTGTGTGACTTTTTCCTTGACCAGGTTAGGGAAGTTTTCTGCCATGATTTCTTCAAACAGGTTCTCTAACCCTTGCTTACTTTCGACCTCTTCTGGCATGCCTGTGATGCAAATGCTGTTTCATGTTGTCTCACAGCTTCCTTATACTGTCATCCTGTTTTAAAAATTTTTCTTTTTGTCCGGCCCGGCGTGGCTCAGCGGTTGAGCGTCGACCTAGGATCCAGGCGATCAGGGTTCGATTCCGGTCAGGGCACATGCCCAGGTTGCAGGCTCGATCAATGACTTTTATCATTGATGTTTCTATCTCTCTCTATCCCTCTCCTTTCCTCTCTCTGAAATCAATAAAGATATATATTTTTTTTAAAAAATTTTCTTTTTGGTTCTCTGATTTTTTTTTTTTCCTACCGTCTTCTAATTCACTGATCTGATCCTCAGTTTCCACTAATCTGCTGTTTATTCCTTCCAGTATTTTTTAAAATTTCTACTATGTCACTCTTATTTTCCTTCATAGTTTCCATTTCTTTTCTCAGGTTGTTGTGCATTCTTATGATCAGTATTCTGGACTCTATATCTGATAGATTGCCTATCTCCATTTCATTTAGCTCTTCTTCTGGAGAATATTTGTTCCTTCATTTGGGGTTTTTTCTCTCTCCATTTTGTCTCTTTGGATTTGTTTCTATGTATTAGGTAGTTCTGCTAGGACTCTCAGTCTTTTGGATGGTCTCTGGCGTAGGCCAATGTCACACGCTGTCTGTGACTGGCCTTGAGTACCTTGTTTGAAGCTTTTTGCACTTCACAGCATGTGGTTCCCTCTGATGGAGCTGGGTATGGTCTGTCTTTATAGACTTACCTCTTCTGGACATTTCACATCAACAGAACCATATATTTGGTCTTCTGTGCTTGGCTTCTTCCCCTTAGCATAATGTTTTCAAAGTTCACCCATTTTGTAGTATGTGTCAATACTTCATTTCTTTTCATTGCCAAATAATATTCCATGGTATATCACTTTTTAAAAAAAATGTATCTTCATTGATTTCAGAGAGAGGAAGGGAGAGGGAAAGGGAGAGGGAGAGAGAGAAACATCAATGATGACAGTCATTGATCAGCTGCCTCCTGTGCACCCCAAACTGAGGATTGAGCCTGCAACCCCAGCATGTGTCGTGATTGGGAATCGAACCATGATCTCCTGGATCCTAGGTTGATGCTCAACCACTGAGCCATGCTGGCTGGACAGTATACCACATTTTATTTACCCATTTGATGGGCATTTGGGTGGTTTCCACTTTTTAGTTATACACAAATATTTATAGCATTATTTCTAAGCTTTTATTTGGACATATATTTTATTTATTTTAGGTATAAGATAGAATTCCTGGGTTATATGGTGTCTTAGTCTGCTTGAGCTTCCATAACAAAATACCACAGACTGGGTGGCTTAAACAAACTTATTTCTCATAGTTCTGGAGGCTGTGAATTCCAAGATCAAGGTGCTGGCAAAGTAGGTTTAATTCTGAGGTCTCTTCTCTTGGCTTGTAGGTGGCTACCATGTTGCTGTGTGCTCACATGATCTTTCCCGGGTGCATGTGCTTGGGGGTAGAGGGGTAGAGGGAGAGTGCTCTTTGATGTCTCCTTATAAGGACACTAATCCTGTCAGAGCCCCATCCTTAACTTACTTCCTTAGAGGCTCCATTTCCAAATATAGCCACAGTGGGGTTTAGGACTTCAACATATGAATTTTTTTGTGGGTGGGAGGAGGAAG